CCAGGAGGCTGAGATCTGAGGATCACGGTTCAAAGCCAGCCCAGGCAGGAAAGTCTGTGAGACTCTTATCTCCAATAAACCACTGGAAAACCGAAAGTGGCGCTGTAGCTCAAGTGGTAGAGTGCTCGCCTTGAGCTGAAGAGTGCAAGGACAGCGCCCAGGCCCAGAGTTCAATCTCCATGACCAACAGCAACAACAACAACTAAATATATATATACTGAGATAACTCCCGGGTCAAAATGGGAGACATGGGGACCTCTAGAGGCATATGAAGAGTACTACCTAGAGCCTAAAGAAGACCCAGGACTCCAAGAAAGCAAAAACTCTGCATTGAGTTCACACAGTTTATTGAGCTTGTGTCCAGAATCCAGAGAGAGCTGGGAGTCTGTTCCAGTTTCTGAAGATGCTCTGGTATCTCTCCACAGGGCAAGAGCTGAGCACTGAGGGAACTGGCAGTCAGGAAACGGGACTGAGAGAGAGAGCTTGAGAGGCAAGGCTGGAAATAGGGATCTCAGACGTCGAGCCGAGCATCCTCTTAGAGGGCAGATGTGGAGCAAGATCCCAATGGCGTAGCAAGTCGACTGAACAATTGGCAATGGAAGGCCAGCAAATAGTAGTTATTGGTTTTAGGGAATCATTTGGACTTTGCAAAGCAGGAGAGGAAGAGATGACTTGTCCAGATATCAAAAATCTAGGATTATTTCAGAAGTTTCCCAGTGAAGAATTTGAATGGATGAGTTTAGCCAATGGCCAATCTCAAAACAACAAAAATTTAAAAAAGGGAGAGTTTAAGGGGGGGCAGTGATCTGAGAGAGCACTGCTGTGGGAGAGGATGAAGAAAGGGATTGGAGTCCACCATTTAGGAAACAGAAGAAACAAGAGTCTGCAACGCTGGCATAATGGATCTAGCAGAGCAGCTCTCTTGGGATGGAGGAGGTAAAGTGATTTAACTCAATGCCTGGGAACTTGGATATCTCCCAGCTGGAAGATGGTATGCATTGTGTGTGTGTGTGCCCACGTATGCACATATGAAAAACTGATTTAGGGATTGCCAACTGATTGTTCCTGGGGCAGGAAAACTTCCGGGTCAGCCAGCTGGGGCCCCAAAGGCTTCACTTGGGCCAGAATGTCCCGGATGGAGCGGCAGGGGACCCTTCCAGAGCTTCTGGGGCCACAGGGCCTGGCTCCAGCAGAAAGATCCGGCTGAGGAGAGCCATCGGGACCTCCACTCAAGGTTGAGGAGGAAACCGAAATGCAAGGGTGACCAGAAGAGCTGGACTTGCTGCCACAGGGTTGAAGGATGATTTTGCCACCTGACAGGGAGTTGGAGCTGCCCTGGATGGGGCCAGTGCCTGGTGGGGAGCAAGGTCCCTGCGAAACCCCACTGCAGGGGTGGTAGGACGAACTGGAACTGCTAGAACTGATGTGCACTATGGAACTGGATGGGGAGCAGGGCCCCTTCGAACTCGTGGAGCCAATTCTACAGGGCTGAACACCACCAGTGCCCACAGGCTGAAACACAATGGCCGGGGAAGGGCCTGATTGGTAGACGTTAGAACTCGAAGAGCTGTGGCTGGGGATGATGGGATTGCTGGAGAAGTATTTGCCCTCGGAGACAGGAGCCCCAGCTGCAAAAGCAGGGACACCTGGAGAGCCCTTGACAGGGTTATCTTTGGTGAAGTAGCCCACTGGGTAGATTTTGCCTCCACTGTAGGTCATACCTGGGACGAGGTAACTGTTAGCAGACCCTCCTACGACCTCATAGCCACCATAGGACTGCGGGACAGAAGAGATGGGAGGGCAGGGCTTCCCTGCCAGGCCTCCATTGCTACAGGGCATGTTTTGAACCACTCCAGGCCCACCCGAGCCGTGCTGCTCTACCACGACTATCACAGGCTTCTGCCCCCCTGACACAGTGTGGGAGCTGGAGACGTAGGAGCCAGAGTGGGAGACGACAGGGCCCCCGCTGCAGGGAGAGTCGGGGACATTGGAGCTACAAGGCCGCAGGTTGGAGCTGCTGCTGCTTTGGGAACTACTGCTAGACATGCTGGAGCTTTGGGAAGAGGAAGAGCCTCCTCCATACTGGAAAGAGCCTGATGGCGAGCGGGAGGAATCGTCGATGGGTAGAGCGGAGCCATCGCCTCGTCCTCTGCTGACTCCAGACTGGGAGGAGCTGGAAGGGCTTTGGAGGCTGGAGCCAGATCCAGAGGACCAACTGATCTGGCTATAGCCTGTTCCTGGCTTAAATACTGAAGATCCTGAAGAACTACCATGGATGACACTGGAGCCACCGGAGCCACCGCTGGAGATACTAGAGCCGCCAGAGCCGCCGCTGGAGATACTAGAGCCACTGGAGCCACTGCTGATGCCACTGCTGGAGCCACTGGAACTGGAACTGAAGCTACTGGAGCTGCCATGGCTACTGAAACTCTTCGAGCCACCCTTTCCAAGGAGACAAGGGTCATTGGGAGAGGTGATCCGGGTGGGGTCCTTGCAGGGATCTGAGAAGGGCCCAATGCTCTTAGCCAAGGTCCCTAGGGAGGAAAGAGGTGGTCAGTACCAGAGAAGGGCGTGGCTTCCTTGCAACTCCAGGCCAGTCCTCTGCTACTCTGGTTTCTCCTGAGGGAAGCCTGGGAGAATTTGGAGGTAGGAAAAGGCAGGTGAATTGACTGTTGTCTCCAAGAGATATTAGGATGGCAGAATAAAGGCAGTTGCATTGTTCCAGGAGTGGGGAATTGATGGGGAGGAGATCAAACAGTGCCCCCCCCCGCAAAGTGGGAGGTATTGAAGGAGCAAGGTACAGGTAATAGAAAATGGGGACAAGTAGGTCCAGCAACAAACAGGCTTCAAAGAAAACAGAGTGGAGAGGCTGAAACTGAGATTTGGAGAAATCTCAAAGAGAAAAAAAAATCCTGGGTCAGACTATGAGATCAAATAATAGATTATTTAAAAAAAAAAAAAAGACCGAGGGCTGGGAAGGTGGCTCAGTGGTAGAGCGCTTGCCTTGCATGCATGAGTCCCTGGGTTCGATTCCTCAGCACCACATAAGTAGAAGAAAAAAAAAGCTGGAAGTGGTGCTGTAGCTCAAGTGGTAGAGTGCTAGCCTTGAGGTGAAGAGCTGAAGGACAGCGCCCAGGTCCAGAATGTGGAGATAAAAGGAGGAGGAGAAGGAAGAGGAGGAGGAGCACGAGGAGGAGGCGCAGGAGGAGGAGGAGCAGGAGGAGGAGGAAGATATTTGGACAAAAGACCCTTGTGCCAGGTGCCACAGTGGCTCACACCTATAATCCAGCTACTCAGGAGGCTGAGATTTGAGGATCATGGTTTGAAGCCAAACAAGGTAGGAAAGTTCATGAGACTTTTTGTCTCCAATAAGCTATGAAAAAAAAGCCAGAAGTGGAGCTGTGACCGAAGTGGTAGAGCTCCAGCTTTGAGCAAAAGAAGCTCAGGGACAGTGCCTAGGCTCTGAGTTTAAGCCCCAGGACCAGCACACACACACACACACACACACACACACAAGAGGTGGGGGGATCCTCTTGTCAGAGGTAGTTGAAGGATAACATCTAGTTATCTGCTCCCTCCCAAGGGTCCACGCTGGTAACATGTGGAAATCCTGTTTCCTGTCTCAGTGGTGGCTATGCCAGTAAAGCTGGGTGGGGGCCAGGATGTGGGGGCACTTATCTGTTGCTTCAGAACCTGCTGGTACCAGTGTGACAGGACACCCCACCCTGAGCCACCCCTGCTCTTGCTGGTCCAGCTCAGGAACGGAGCTTGAAACCTTCCCCTGAGGCACGTGACCATTATCTGCTTCCCTCTGTCCCCACCCAGCCATCACACGTGTGGGTCTGTCACCGTCTCTCCACCCTGCATCCGACCCCTGCTGCCTTTTCCTCCCTCAGTCTGGACCCTCTTCTTTCCATAACTGAACCCCTCTTCTGAGTCCCAGGTTCTTCTTCCCCAAGTCTGCCACTGGCTCTTTGACCCAAATGTGCCCTGCCCACTCCCAGCAAGTTTCTAAGTTTCTCTGAGCTTTAATTTCTTTTTTGGGGGGCCCGGTTGTGGGGCCTGAACTCTGAGCCTGGGCGCTGTCCCTCAGCTCTTCAGCTCAAGGCTTGCGCTCTACCACTTGAGTCACAGTGCCACTTCCGGCTTTTTTCTTTATGCGTATGTGGTGTTGAGGAATCGAACCCAGGGCCTCATGCATGCAAGGCAAGCGCTCTACCACTGAGCCACCTTCCCAGCCCTGAGCTTTAATTTCTATGTTCAGAGAGGCTCAATCTGTCCTGCTTTGCTCACAGCAGGACGACAAAGACTGAGATCATCAACCTATTAAGAAGCTTCCAAAAACATAGAGCATTAGGCACCGTGATGCATTATTCACATTCATCCTTAAGCCTTTGCACCAACAACCAGGCCTCTATAATCGGTGAACTCTGCACACTGACCCTGCCTGGGCCACAGCACCTGCGCTTCTCTGCAACAGAGAAGCGGTGGTCAACAGAGCCAATGAGTCTAGGTTTTGAATCCTGGCTGTCCTGCTTCTGCCAGTTTGCCTCTGGACCTCAGTGTCCTCATCTGTACAATGGAAATAACAAATCTTCCTTCATACAACTCTTGCAATGATCAAAACTGCTAATAGAGTTAAAGTGTTGAGAACCCTGTCTATAGTAATTATAACCCTGTCAGTAGCAATTATGATTACTATAAAATATCCATCCTCAGTTTCAGGCTCCTGAGTAGCTAGGATTATAGGTGGAAGCCACTGGTGTACAGCATCCTCTAGCAATTGTTTGTTGTAAAAACAAACAATTGATAGAATCCTCTAGAACCTCCAAAGCAAAGGTCATGTATATTATTTAATTTGAGACCCACAAAGAGACTAGAGCTAGGGGTAGACGTTATTAGCCCCCTTTTATTAGGCTCAGAAAGTTTAAGTAGGGCCTGAAAATGTAGCTCAGGGGTGGAGCTTTTTTTTTTTTTTAATTAAAGCTTAAATCATTTGCCTGAAGTGATCAGGCAGTAAAGGGAAGTCCCTCCCACCCCAACTCAAAGATCAAGTTCTAGAGCCTCTGCTCTTCCCCTTTTGTTGAGTCCTCTCCTGGACTGTCTCCCAGGCACTGGATGGCTCCAGTGTCCCCTGCCCTGGGGTCTGCCTCTCCCCTCCACACCCTCCACCTCAGGGCCCCCAGCCTCCTACCTGGCAGCAGGAGACCGGCCAGCAGCAATGCCATCATCCCTTGCCCTCCCACACGCCCCATCCAGCGTGCCCGAGAGGAACCCATCGTGGACGGTGTGGCCTCCTGACTGACAGCAGCTCGTGGACACCAGAGCCTTTATGCCAGGGCTGGACATTCCCTGGGCAGGAGTCACTGAGGGGAGGGAGGAGGGGCAGAGGGGGTGGGTGCCTGGGGGAAGTTGGTGTGGCAGGAGGAGCTGAAGCAATCGGCTGTTGTATCTGCCTACTCAGCACCAGAAATGGCTGGAGTGGGGGGGGGGGGGGATCCACGGCCACAGGGGCCTAGATTCTGCCTTGGCTGACCTCCCCTGACTTCTCATTGCCTAACCTGGAACCAGGTCCTCTGCCCCAGGGCCACGCCCTCAGGGGCGGCCACTCTCACTCCAGAACCCAGATGCCTGGCTTCTCTCCTTCCTGCTCCTCTGAGAACTGGTCTACCCTCATCCTCTTACCCTCCCTCAATGAGAAGACAAGATGTGGACATTTCACCTTTCCTTCCCACACTCAGGGCCCTGCACCTGCTTCTGCTCCCCACCCTGCCCCACCAGAGTTCCCAATGAGATCCAGATCTGTCCATACCCTTAACATCCCAATCCTTTATCCTCTATTTTCCTTCTTCATCTATAAAGATCTGCCCCCCCACCCTCTGTCCCTTTTGCCCCTGCCCAAGCAACAGCTTATTTCATGCCTAGTGCCAGACCCATCCATGAACAAACCTTTTCCCATTCAGAAATTAGGCATCCATATTCTGCAATCTAGCTCCCTCATGACTCCTTTCTGGGGTGCTCCAGGGATAGCGTGAGGAGCATCGGGTGTCAAAACTTAGCCTGAGGACAGGCCTGGGCTGGGGGGACCCCTGTCATAGCTGGGTCTGAGTTACTCACAGGCCACTCACCACAAACCCTCCTTTGTGCTCATGACCCAGGCTTAGAAGGGTGAGCAAGAAGCTAATGAGGTTAATTGGAAAGGTGGTGGCCCAGCAGCCATTAGCTGGCTCCCTGGCCTGGATGGGCCAACAGGAAGCAGCCGTTTCTCATGCTTGGTAGAATATAAGAGTCCACGAAGACCGCTGAGTCCCTAGAGGATAGGCTAGATAGCCAGAACTCTGAGATCTGCCAAGAGGGTGGTGGTGCTTCCTCTATTAGGAGTCCCTCCTCCTTCCCTGGCCGGCGCCACCCCGGCTGATTGCTCACTGGTATTGGGGAGAGTATCAGTATCGGAGGGAGAGGCCCCAGGAATCTCTCTTCAGACAGCTATCTGCCCAGAGGAGGCTTTCTTTTCCTCACCCAAACTCTTTTCCAGAACTTCCCATTCCTCCTGAAGGTATTTCTATCCCTGGAGCCCTTGGGTTGGTCTCTGTGCTTTCGCAACTGCTCTGAACTCATCTGATACTGCAGCCACCAGCCACACATGTCTACAAGCTCTTAAGAGGGGCAATAAAGCTAGGTGCTGATGGTTCATGCCTGTAATCCTAGCTATTCAGGGAGACTGAGATCTGAGGATCAAGGTTCAAGCCAACCTGGGCAGGAAAGATCATGAGAGTCTTTTCTCCAATTAACCATCAAAAAGTCGCAAGTGGAACCAGGTGCTGATGGCTCACACCTATATTCTTAGCTACTCAAGAAACTGAGATCTAAGGATCGTGGTTCAAAGCCCTGACAAGAAAATCCGTGAGACTCATCTCCAATTGACCACCAAAAAAAAAAAAAGTGGTGCTGTGGCTCAATGTGGTAGAGTATAAGTCTTGAGCAGGGACAGCACCTAGGCCCTGAGTTAAAGCCCATGATTGAAAAAAACAAAAGCTACTATAATCCACAGAGGAACTAATTTTTTTTTAATTTGGTGTACCTTTAAGTGTTAATAGTCAAATGCAACAACTGGCTACCACCTAGTCTAGTCTTTAACTCCCTGCTGTTACCTAGAAAGGGAGCAAGAGACAGAGGGCTCCTGGGAGCTGTGCAGAGGGCAGGTGACGCATCAGCAGCCTTTGAAGAGGGCGGGAGCCATGGAGAAAATAAACAAAAACCTTGCCTTGACATTCAGGTGTCCTGGGTTAAGTCTCAGCTAATCCTCTGGTTTCAGGCACTGCGTCCAACCTTTCTAAACTGCATTTTCCTCATCTGAAAAGTGGGGGTATTTTGAACAATGCCTACCTTGGAAAGTTATGATAAATACCAAACAGAAATTTATCAGAAAGAATACATGGATGAGGGTATAGCCTCTCCATTTGGCAAGTAGAGCCCCACAGCTGCTCCTGTCTAAATCCTGACTTTGAGATAAACAGGATGGTGTACCATAGCCCACCCTGGGCAAGTCTGTTCTGCCTCAGATGGAGCAGAAGGCATAAATCTGAGACAGAATGCTGGGTGTCTGTGGCTCATACCTGTAATGTTAGCTACTTAGGAGGATGAGATCGGAGGATCCCAGTTCAAAGTCAGCCTGGCCAAGAAAGTCCGTGAGACTCTAATCTCCAATTAACCCTCAAATATCCAGAAGTGGAGCTGTGGCTCAAGTGGTAGAGCAGTAGCCTTGAACAAAGCCTGGGACAGCCCCCAAGCCCCGAGTTCAAACCCCCAGGATCAGCACAAGAAAATAAATAATAAAGTAATAAGTCTGAGACAAGGATGCGTTGTAAAGTGACGTCAGTGCCTCCCCATGTCCCTCCCTAGGCTCCCAGGCCCCATCCAGGATGGAGAGAAAGAGAAGGTGCAGAGACAGAGAGAGGAGTGGCCAAGAGAAGAAAGGGGGAAAGGAGCCTGGCAGTCTGGAGTGTGCGGAGACTGCCGCTTGGTTGTGGGGAGGAGGTGGGAGAACTTGGGAACTGTGGGTGATTCTTCTTGGATCCAGGCTTCCTCAGCCAGAGACGGCAACATGTGTCTTGTTGTCTGCTTTGCATTCCTCCTGGCTGCTGTCAGACCTTGGCCAGGTCTGCCAGGCTGGAGGAGGCCCAGTCTCTCTCGGCCTCTCGCCAACTCTCCAGCCACCTACACGTTCACATTCCTCCATCAGGCTGCTCTTGTCCTGTCTACAGTATTTACCTCCTTCCCCGTCCTGCCAGCGTGGACTGTGTCAGTCCTCGACTGCCCTGCCCACACCCAAGCGCTGGGAAGGTCAATCTGATCTCCTGAAATCCTGTGTGCTCTGCTAGGCAACATCTCATGCTTTTTCTGCTGTTTCAGTCACTGTAGTCAACTGAGGTCTGATAATAAATGAACAACTCCTGACAGAAACAATTCAAGCCAAGCGCTAATGTCCCACACCTGTAATCCTAGCTACTCAGGAAGCTGAGATCTGAGGATCACAGTTCAGAAACCAGCCCAGGCAGGAAAGTCCGTGAGACTCTCTCTTATCTCCAATTGACCATCAGAAAACCAGAAGTGGCGCTGTGGCCCAAGTGGCAGAGTGCTCACTGAGGACTGAGATTTGAAGCCAGCCAGGGCAAGAAAGTCTGTGAGACTCATATCTCCAGTTAACCACCAAGAAAGCTGGAGGTGGAGCCGGGGCTCCAGTGGTAGAACACTAGCCTTGAGCAGAAAATCTCAGGGATAGCACCTAGGCCCTGAGTTCAATCCCAAAAACCAACAGAAAAGAAAATAAAAACAAGGGGGGGAGCCTGGCATGTAGCCCAGTGAAAACATCCTGAGTTTGATCCCTACTACCAAAAAAGTAAAGGGGGTGGAGGGAAGAGTCTGAGGCCAGAGACCACCCCCCACCTTCACTAGCTACCCCGGGGGGGCCAGGTACCATCCAGCTTCTCAGTTTGCATTGTCCTGTTTGTTTTTCACAACACTGCTATGGGACAGGTGCTTTTTCTCCTCTTTTAATGGAGTAAGAAATTGAGAAAGGACATATCTGGACCAGCTGCTAAAAAGCAAAACAAGCTGGGTGCCAGTGACTCACGCCTGTAATCCTAGCTACTCAGGATCACGGTTCAAAGCAAGCCTGGGCAGGAAAGTCCATGAGACTCTTCTCTACAATTAACCACCAAGTGGCTCAAGTGGTAGAGCACTGGCCTTGAGCTGAAGAGCTGAGGGACAGTGCCCAGGCCCAGAGTTCAAGCCCCACTACTGATCAAAAAAAAAAAAAAATGAGGGGGCAAGACACAAATACAGGCCTCTGGGCCCTCCAAGTCCACCCAAAGATCCCCTCTGTGTATCTACACTGCAGATACATGGAAACAAATGCCCTGTTGTATGTCTATCTCTTTAGAGAGAAAGTTAAAGTCTCAAAAGAAGCTACTGGGCCCTCATGGTTCATGCCTATAATCCTAGATACTTAGGAATTTGAGATCTGAGGATCATGATTCTAAGCCAGCCTGGGCAGGAAAGTCTGTAAGACTCTTATTCCAAATAACTGGCAAACAGCTGGAAGTGGAGGTGTGATAGAGGTCTAGCCTTGAGTGAAAAAGCCAAGGAACAGCACCCAGGCCCCGAGTTCAAGTCCCAGTACTGGCACTCACATAAAAATGAGAAAGCACATGCAGTTCATTGCCTCAATTTTGTCTGCCCTTCCTGGTGGACCTAAAAGCACAGAAGTTCTAGAACAAAATTTTCATGGAGTGGGCCTTAAAATACCTGTAGCTTAGGTGAGAAGAAAATGGAGTAAAGATATTAAGAGTAGTTCCAGCAAGAATGGTGGACAGAGTGGCTCAAGTGGTAAAGCGCACTAGCCTTGAGGCTTAAGGACAGTACCCAGGCCCTGAGTTCAAGCCCCAGGACAGAAAGAAAGAAATAAAAAGTTAAATCTGAACCAGGCACCAGTGGCTCACGACTGTAATCCTAGCAACTCAGGAGGCTGAGATGTGAGGATTGTGGTTCAAAGCCAGCCTGGGCAGGAAAGTCTGTGAGACTCTTATATCCACCCAGAGCCATTCTAAGGTCTAGACCGTATTGATTCCTTCCAGCATCCACTCCTCTCTCCTCTGGGTTCCTGTAGAAAACCTTGTGCTATCTCCCTGCCTCCTCCATCATGGACTCCATGTGGACTCATCTCTGGTCTCCATAGCCTTTCTTCCTGGAGTAGAGGCTGACACTCCTGTTCAACTCC